CGAAACGAGGTTATATTTATATTTGTGTCCACGCTGTTCTTAGTATCAAATTCATGGATTAAAGCAGTCGCATAAAATAGGAATTGAGTTTTGATCGCCTGCAAAAATGTTAGCGATGTTAACTGCCGATTGGTTTCCTTTGGGTCGAGACATATACTTTAGGTAATATTTTAGGTTAAGGTTATCAAATCGAAACGAAATTTCTTGTTACAGACAGAAAAACGAGAAGAAAAGAAGGAAACGGTCCCGTTTCCGCATTTTTAAAAGTTAATTATTTTTTAGGAAATTTGAACTGTATCCATTGTCTTTTCAAAATGAAGTGTCAAATAATAACATGCTAGTCGCTGCTCCTTATGGAGGTTCCATTGCAATCACGAGAAATCCGAAGAAATTGGTCAAAGTACAAGGAGTAAATAAACCTATAATATACTTGTATACATCTTCTGGAAAACTAACAGCCAAGTTCCAAGTAAATGTTTCAAAGTCATTCATACATTTCTATTGCTAAGCTATTTTCTATCTTACAATCATAGTTTACGTATTGTCATAATTGTCATTGTTGGTTTTTTTAGTGGAATGGTGGACAATTAGTCCTTTTAGGTTGGTCTCAACAAGAAGAATTACTGTGCATAGAAGATGATGGCATGATTCATATATATGATATGTTTGGTACATATCAACACGCTTTTAGTATGGGAAACGTATGATACTTTTTATCTGACTAAAATACATGGAAAAATATTTCTCTAAAATAGTTTTTGTGTTAATGCCTTTTTATGTTAGGAAGTGAAAGATACCAAGGTTGTGGAAGCAAAATTTTTTGTCAGTTATAGTGGAACTGGTATCGCAGTTCTAACATCTGTTAATCGTATATTCCTGGTAAATAATATAGTTGAACCAAAAGTTAGACAAATATCGGATATTCCTAGTAAGTAAATAAATTATAGATTCAATAATCTTGGATTAAAGGCTGAACTACTTTCTGTTATTGATTTTTTAGGATATGGCGGGCAAATCGAATGCTGGTGTTTAGTCCATTGTGATAGAGAAACACGTGTGATATTATCGAACAAAGATGGAATATTTGTGATACATCAGTCTCATCAAGCTGCAACTCATATACCATTTGTATAACATAAAAACTTTGAATGTATGAGCAAACCCTACTTTGTAATGTTTCAAACTATTTTATATTTTTAGGATAATCTTTTTACCAGGCATAATAAAGTGTCCAGTGTAATCGCTATGGCTGTGTCTGGAAACAATCGTCATATTGCTCTTTATATGGATACTGGTCATTTATATATGGGTACTATAGATTTTAATGAAAAATATTGCGAACATTATACAAACATGAAAGAACCATTAGAAAACATAGCATGGTTAATATGTTGACATTATCTTTTGTATAATATCACGATAAAACTATTCGATGGTACTCATACAAAAATTTATAGGTGTGGAACGGAAGCTGTAATATGTAGTTGGAATAGTACTGTAATGGTGATTGGACGAACAGCTGAAACTATAATATATACATATGATGGTCCGGTACATTTTATTACAGAGATTGATGGTATACGCGTATTATCTGGTTCTTCTCATGAAATGATACAAAAAGTACCAAATGTCGTTCAAAAAATATTTCGAATTAACTCAACCGATCCTGCGTCTTATTTATTGGAAGCATCTAAGCAGTTTCAAAGAAGGAGTCATAAAGCTGATAGTTATATGGATTTGGTTAAAGATAAATTGGATGCTGCGATAAAAGCTTGCATTGATGGAGCTAGTCATGAATTTGATTTTGAAACACAAAAACTTTTAAT